GATTTCTCATTTTCTGTCTCTCTGTCTCTCTCTTTCTGGCGAGTGCACACGCCCTATAGCAAAAACCTCTCCAGAAAAAGAATAAAAAGAAAAAAATCTCTCTTAAAAAAATAAATTATATATGCAAGCACAAGTTAAAGCAATTTAGTGGAAAAGTTCATATGGCAAAAAATGAATTCTGCCTTCATTCACTCACATATACCACTGATCCCTTCCCTATCAGAGACCTACGAGTGGCTCATAAACTCTCCAGAGCTGCTCATGCATGAGCATTCTAAGTCTGGTTATTTCTTTTCTTTGCTTTTTTTTAAAAATAATTATTTTATTTAACTTTATTTGTTTGTTTATTTTTAAATTTGACCAGAGGGGGACAGAGTGAAAGACAGAGAGAGAGAGAGAGGGAAAGTGAGAAAGCAAGTCACGAGGTCCAGGACTCGAACCATGGTCAGCCAAGTAGGAGTCCAGCATCCTTAACCACCACACCACCTGCTAGCCCCTTTTTGCTTTGTTTTAGTACCGAGCCCTGATATATTTCATCTTGGGTTATATAGAACTCCCTCATTTTTAAAACGATTCTTTTTAAAAGTTATTTCTTTTGTCCATGGGAGAGTGAACCCAGGGCTTTTCCTACATGGGAAAAGTTGCATTATCACTGCATCGCTGCTTGGCCCCCACTTTCTGCTGTCATTTTTATTTCCTTTCTTTTCTCCATGACAAGAGAGACAGAGAGGAAAAAGAGAGAGGCACTACTGACAGAGGCCTCCTGCCTTGATCCACCCCAGCCCCAGCGAGCCCTGGGTCATAAGAACGCATCACCCAGTGTGCTCAGGGCAGTCCCTGCACACTCACCAGGAACTCTCCCATGTGGGCTGGCTTTGCAGAGTCGTATTACCGTGCACCACAGTTTGGGACAGCCCTCTTTCCTTTCTTTTCTTTTTTCTGTAGAAACAGTATCTCACTATGTTGCCCAGGCTAGAATGCAGGGGCTATTCACAAGCAGGATCCCACTACAGATCAGCCCCTTCTTTTTTTTTTACCAATATTATCAATCACATTATTTAGCATACAAGTAGATCATTTCAATATATGAACATTTCTCCCTGGTCAAGTAGATTAAAATATAACAACACTACCTCCCCGTCTCAACAATGCTGTCTTCGTATCCCTCCATCAAATGTTTTTCTCCAGGCCCCACTCCTCCACACACACCACATCTGGCATTCACATCCACGTCTTGGGTATGTACATTCTTTAGCCCATCAGTTTCAGTTATATAGTGCGGACATTTGGTATATATTAAATGGGGACATATAGTGTCTCTCCTTCATAGCCTGGCTTGCTTCACTCAGCAGTAAATCCTCCATATTCTTCCACTTTCTGTCAAAAGCCAGGGTTTTGTTGTTCTTAATGGCTGAATAGTGTTCCACAGAGTATATGTGCCACAGTTTTTCAATCCATTCAGCTGTACGGGAGGCATTTGGGTTGGTTCCTTGTCTTAGCAACCGTGAAAAGTGCCGCAATAAACATCGATGTGCAAGCACTTTTCCAATGAGAAATTCTTCTGTCCTTTGGGTAGGTGACAACAAATAGAATTGCTGGATCATATGGCAGTTCTATTTGTAGATTTTTGAGGAATCTCCAAATTGTTCTCCACAGTGGTTGGACTAATTTACATTCCCACCAGGGGTGTAAGAGAGTCCCCCTTAACCCCAGTCAGAATGGGGGGGGTGAAAGAGGAACTTAGCCCCTTCTTTTTAAACACAGCATCTCTCCACGTGGCGACCCTCCTACCTTAGCCTCCCAAGGAGCTGGAGCTCCAGGCACACTCCACCACGCCTAGCCTTCAGGTGGAGCCAGGGATTGAGTCTGGTTTCCCATGCAACTTCAGTTTGCAGAACTGCAGTGTTTTACTGGTGCATGGAATCACAGCTGGGCCTCCCTCATTATTTTAAATGGCTGCACACTGACCCATTTCATGAATGTATAGACATGAGATGCAAACAAATAGATTCTTACTATTCCATTTTCGCAAAGTTCAGACATAGCTAGGCCAGCAGGTGGTATGGTGGTTAAGGTGCTGGATTCCTACATGACCAACTACAGTTCAAGTCCTGGACCAGGTGGCTTGAAAATCACACCTAGGGGGCCAGAAGATGGTGTAGTGATTACGTTGCTGGACTCCCATGTGGCTGACCTCTGTTCAAGTTCCAGACCCAGTGGCTTGAAATTCACATTGGCATGTGTGCATGCAGGCCCAAGATCCCAGGAGGGGAAGGGATTGAACGTGGCCATCTCCCCCGCACCACCACCACCAGGGGTGATTTCTCACTTCCCCTCTCACTCTTTCTCTCTCTCTCTCTCGCTCTCTCTCTCGCTCTCTCTCTCGCTCTCTCTCTCGCTCTCTCTCTCGCTCTCTGGTGAGTACACATGCCTTATGGCAAAAACCTCTAAAAAAGAAAATCACACCTAGCACATATGCATGTGTGCCTGAAGTTCCAGGAGGAGAATAGAGAAGGGATTGCAGGATGGCCATTCCCCATGACAGGTGACTTCTCATTTTCCCTCTTTCTGTCTCTCTGGCAATCACATGCACCCTACAACAGAAAGGCAAAAAGGCCAAAAAAAAAAAAGTAGGACTAGGCGAGATTAACCTGTGGTTTTAGAATTCAGGACAGAGGGCAGGCCTATGGCCTGGTAGTTAAGGGAATCAGATCTCACATGACCAACCCAAGTTCAGGTCCAGGTGGAGTGGCTGGGCAAACATCCCAAGTACATGGGCATGCACTAAAATCCCCATAGGATGGAGAGAATGAGGAGAGGGGATTATGACACGATCATGGCCCATTAATCGCTAAACCCCCCTTTCTCTGCCTGTGAGCACACCTGCCCTTTGGCAACTAAAAAGTAAAAAGAATTCTAGATAGAGATCAGCTCTGAGGAAGAACAGAGCAGTGACAGAAGTAGAGGGCTCTGGGGTACTGGTCATGCCCTGATTCCTGAACTCACTGACAGCCATAGAGGTGTGTCCACATTTTAATCACTCATTAAAATATACACTTATGATTTCGGCACATTTCTGTAAGACACTGCTTCAGTTTAACAAAGTTCAAACTTATCCTCTAAAGGGGGAGGTGGGAGGGTCTTCAAAAAGTCCATGGAAATGTGTATTATGAATGGATTCCCAAAATTTATGCCAAAATAAAGGTGCACTTTCACCTTTCCATGAACTTTTTGGAGTCCCCCTCATATATAGATAGATGGAAATAACTATAGGTCCCTTTGGTAGTGGACTTACGTCTCACACTCTTGGCAGCAGCCAACCCCAGGGGGGATAAGAGCTGGCAACATGCTAACCCCAGCTGGGTGACCTTGGGCAGGTTATCTAAGTGTCAGGTGCCTCTGCTCATCATCTGTAAAATGGGAGTAATAACACTATTAGGTGTTGGTTAAAATACCAGGAGCACAAAGGGTTAAGGAAGACTCCTACAACCGCTTATTTTGTAACATACATCAAATTCAAAATAACTACCTGGGTCACGAGATACCTAAGAAACCAAAATTGGGAAAACGAAGATTAAAATGTAGCAAGCTAGAGGAGATCTTGGGACACATATTTTGACTAAATAAGGATCTAAAGCAGGATGAAAAGGGGTCTGGGGGGGAGATGGCGCCTCCCGAGGCGGTGGCCCGTTCTGTCTGTGGTTGTCTGTGGACCAGGTCTCTCCATAAACAACATCGTGCTCCGCTTGCTTCCTTGTCTTTGGGTTCTTGGAGGGGGAAGCACGGACTGCATACTTCACAACCTAACAACACAACTACCCGACGAAGTTGTCACAAGGACTGAAGTAATCCAAGCAACGTGCAATTGCCCCGCAGTTACACAGCAGACGCCCAAATTACCACGAAATTGTTATTTTTGAAAGGAAGAGAGTCATCCTCAGTGCCTGGAAAAAAATGCTTCGAGTGATGTATCCCAGGCCGGCCTCCTAGCGGAAGTCGCGCTCACGAAGGAGCCTGGTCAAATGTGCTCAGGAGCCAGAAAAGCGTCTACCCGGGACAGGTGAACTCCCAGCCTGTCCGACTCTCAGCACGCCGGCGGAGCAGCCCACCTCCACCTTCTGCTGCCTGCGTGCCCTTTAAGGACGGAGCCATGACGTCATCCCCCGACACGGCGCAGCCTACCTTAGCAATGCCCAGGTCGTTCTTCCGGGTGGCTTCAATTGGCTAGCTAACCCCCTGAGGCCCCGCCTCTTTCCCCGCAGCGGGCCCGGGGCGGCCGCTGTCGGAGGCCGAGTGATTGCCCGCGGGGCCCGCCCTCCGAAAGCCCCTTCGGGCTCGCGTAGGCTGCGCGCTCCGAGTGGGAGGGGTGCGGCACAGCGACTGGAGCCCCCGCCTTCCCTGACCGCCCGCCTGCAGCCCGCCGGTGCGTCCTGCAGCCTGCCTGCTGGGCAGGCCGGCCAGGCCCGGCCATGGAGTCCTACGACATCATCGCCAATCAGCCCGTGGTCATCGACAACGTGAGGCCCAGCAGCCGGGGGGGGAGGGCGGGCGCCCCGCCCCCAGGGGCGTACGCGGCGGCGCCGGGAGGGGCC